ATAAAGGTTTGAAATAACATGACACAAGTCTCTGTTATTCTATATGTTTATGCACTAATTACATATATTACAGTAAGAGAATTTAAATGTAATGGAAATTTAACACGTGATCTGGTCTTTATTCCCCCCACACATACTATGTTTGATTGTACACACACATAATATAAAGCTCACTCTCTCAATACTTCACTGCTTACGTTGGTCTTCTGTTTTTTTTTCCCGCCAGCTTTAGCTCTCTGTGTTCCTGCAGTATGTCACTTTTGCAGTGAAACCTGAAACTCATTCACTATTTGAGCTCTTTTTCTCTCTGTGTCCCTCCTGTTTTTCAATTTTTACCTTTCAAGCCTTCTCAGCTTTTCTCTCTCTCGCTTATTTTCTGCAGAGCAGAGGTGCTAAATGGACAGGCTTTTTCATTCAAACAGTGATCACAGAGCCCTGTCCATGGTGCTGAAACTTCTTTCTTTCTTTCTTTCTTTCTTTCTTTCTTTCTTTCTTTCTTTCTTTCTTTCTTTCTTTCTTTCTTTCTTTCTTTCTTTCTTTCTTTCTTTCTTTCTTTCTTTCTTTCTTTTTTTGAGCTAATAATGTGATGCTCATTTTTTTCAAATGTAATAAAAATTGACTTGAGATTGACTTGAATACACATTAGTAATAAATGTTCTCAATGTCTGAATTGAAATAAGTTGACTTGAAAGCTTTCTTAATTTATGATTTGTTTTATCTATTGAAAAAAAAGATGAGCATGTGTCAAACTTAAGTGTAATCAATGATTAATAGTAAAAACACTTGACATATTTAGAGTTGTTTAATCAATACACTTGCTGAAAATATATCAAATTAATCAAATTCATGTATCAAACAGGCATAAATAAAAAATACATTTCAAAAAGTGTTAAGAAGATTTTTAAATGATTTATCATTTACATCATTGACCCTACTAATATTGCTATTTTAACACTATTTTTATTTCCTTGTCCTTTCATTTCTATTGTGTGTGACTCCTCTAATTACTTACTCTGTCAACCAATCACTACACATTCAATCACCAGTAAAGCCCAAAGTGATGATCCTCTCAACCAATCACAGTAAAAGGTCCTAATGGATCGTTTTTAGACAAAATGGTCATTTAATGTGTTTATTTTTCTCTACGGGTAATGATTAGAACATCAAAATGTCACCCCATGCATCAAACAAGGTGGCAGAAAGATTGTTTGAATATGAATATGTCACCAGCCTAATGATTTCATCCTGACAGCGTCAGCGTTTAATGTATTGACTGAATTTATGAATTCCATTTTCTGATGGAAGCTATTTTACATCAGTTTTCATGTCATGTATCCTCAAGAATGCATTGTGTCCATTTGATGATTTGTTACATAAGCTCTCTCTCTCTCTCTCTCTGCTAGTGACAAATTCAGTGGTCATTAAACAATTCTACAAATGCATTAATTTTTTTATTAAAGTACCAGGGTCTGTAACATTATTAATGAGCAAGTTGTTTAGACTTGAAATGGACTTGAAATTAAAAAGAGCATTTTACAGACTAAACTCAAAGTCAGATGTATGTACCAGAGATGTATTATATACGGTGGCCGAGACAGCTCAACGCGCTGCAACTGAAGCAAACACTTGCAAATAGAGAAAAACGCGTGCAAATAGAAAAAAACGCATGCAAATAGAAAAAAACACATGCAAATAGAAAAAAGCACCTGCAAATTAAAAAAAAACATCTTCATCAGTTTCACAACACACGTGTGCTCCAAATAAGGAAACGCGCTGCAAAAGTTCACAACACAACCAAATACAGAAAACGCGCTGCAAATAACACAGACCACAACGGAAATGTTTCCAGGGGAACCAAATAAGTGACGAACCCGGCTGGGACGTGCTTATTGCTCGTGAGCTTCCCTATGCCATACTCCCTTCGAAGGGCAGATTGCAGAGCCCCCATAGACAGTATAAGAAGTGGACAGAGCGATCTCATTGGAACTCAGTTGAGACAGTTGAAGCCCATTTTTAGCGATTTTTGAGCACTTCCGTTCCTGACGCGCAGACTCAAACCGACTCAAACTAAGCTTGATGACGCGTGCAACCTGTCTGACAGACGTTAATCTTCTAGTAGCTGTGCGTGAAAACTGCCAACGTTAATCTTGCAGAGAGGGGGAACTTGAGCAAAGAGTTCTTTGGCGTGAGTGAGCAGGAGTAAGTATTCCGTTGCTTTTATGGACTCATTATCTATGGGCTTCTCCCTTGACGGGGCGTCCCCCCGATTGCCTGCGAGCTTCTCATCCTGTCTGTACGGTAATTTCTGTACAGCGCGACAGAGAGTCGAGTGGTTATGACGCAATCGTTAGCCTATTTTTACTAAATCTGATTCTACGGGGCCATAATGTAACATAGAAGGTAATGGAGCCCTTTATACATTGTCGTGTTTCTTTAGAAATAAATAATGGACAAATGGAGTCTTTAAACGCCTCAGATGTAAAGTTATTCGCTGTCAAAGTGACGCCAAAATGAATGGGATTCAATGGAAATGCTAACGCAAGTGAAGTTCTGCTACAACATGGCGGCACCCGGCCGACTTCAACATCCGGTCGATGGATTACCCCCTTGAGAGCCCCTTTGGAGTGAGCAAGGCTCTAGTGTGCTGTTAGGCAGCCGTGTGGAGCGCACTTGATGAAGGGAGCAACTAAAGACAACGTAATTTCCTCAGTATTTTCACCTGGGATGTTCCCATGACAACGCAGCACGGTGTCCATCAGCTGGTCTTACGACAGAAATATAATGCTGTTAACATAACGGATGCAAATACATTTTTATTTTTAGTTTACAAAAAAAGCTTTTAAAATATGTGTTATATTGTGTCTCAACTTTAAAATTTTGGACCCTACATTACCTAACATTTCTTACAAAACTTTTCTTTATGTAAATGTAATAACATTAAACAAATTGTACAGTGTATGATCTAAAGATAAATATCTTTCCTTCATGTTTTTCTTCTTTATCTTTTTTATTTATTTATTTTAGTTTCCAGCTCATTGTTCTTTTCTCATTTGTATTCTGATGACATTGAAAATATTGTTAATACATTTTGTACATTGTATACAAGTTGTATGTCATAAAAAATGTAATCTCTGTATGTTTTGCACAAATAAATAAAGTATAATTTTAAGCTGTAAGCACCAGCACGCATAGATTTATGGATATGCCAGCACGTCCCAGCCGGGTTCGTCACTTATTTGGTTCCCCTGGAAACATTTCCGTTGTGCTCTGTGTTATTTGCAGCGCGTTTATGTATTTGGTGGTGTTGTGAGTATTTGGAGCACACGTGTGTTGTGAAACTGATGAAGATGTTTTCTTAATTTGCGTGTGTTTTTTTTATTTGCACGCGTTTTTTTTCTATTTGCATGCGTTTTATTTTATTTGCATGTGTTTTTTTTCTATTTGCACGCGTTGTTTTCTATTTGCATGTGTTTTCTTCTATTTGCATGTGTTTTCTTCAGTTGCAGCGCGTTGAGCTCTCTCGGCCACCGTAATTATAGCCCTTCTTAAGACATTAAACTGAATTCATATGTCTCTTACTCTTCTGTAGTAGACAGACAGGCTACTACACAGACACCATGTTGCAGCTTTATAAATAGAATTTATTCATTGTAACTAAGGATACCAGAGGGTTGTATGATACATAGCTAGAGATGAGAAGTAGGCATGCACATACGTAATTGTTTGTAATAGTGACATTTCTAAGTGTGCGAGTGAAAGACACTGGGCGACCATTTAGCCACCAGTAAACAGAGAAATCAAATCACAGTACTTCCAGAGTTTTGTGCTTTCTCAAAGAAAACAAGCAAACAAACAAACAAACAAAACGATTGACAAAGAAAATAAAAACTCAATGCCATCTCTCATGCTTTCTACTAGTAATCTATACCTCCAACTAGTTCTCACACTGCAAAACATCATATTCTTAAGTAATTTTGCCTACTTTTCCAGTTAAAATATCTAAAAATCATTGAAAATTCAGTTTGAGTAAAACATAAATTTACTTGTAAATCCAAATGCATGAGATGTTAAGACCCTAAGACTTGTTTACAGAGAATGTAGCTTTAATATAGGTGTATTTTTTCTCTGTATTTTTTATGAATTTGGCAAACACTTTTATCTAAAGTGACTTGCAATGGATTTAGGTTTTTTTATATCAGTTTTGATAAATCACTTGCTTACCCTGGGAATTGAACCCATGACCTTTGCATTGCACTGACAATTCAAAGTATAAACAAACAAAAACAAGTGATGAAAGAAATCTACCAGTATATATACTTACATTCAAGATATAATATAATAATAATAATAATATAAGGTATCGTTTGAAGTCAGTACATTTTTAAATGTTTTTAAAAGAAGCATCTTATGTTTACAGAGGCTGCAATTATTTGATCAAAAATACAGTAAAACAGTAATATTTTGAAATATTATTACAATTTAAAATAACTGTTTCCTATTGAGATGTATTTTAAAATGTGATTTATTCCTGTGATGATAAAGCTGAATCATAACTCCAGTCTTCAGTGTCACATGATCCTTCAGAAATCATCATATGTTCATCAATCATTCTAATATGCTGATTTGATGCTCAAGAAACATTTCTTCAGAAAGTTAAAAAGCCTTTACTTTTGTAACATTAATGTCTTTACTGTCACTTTTGATCAATTTAATTTATCCTTGGTGAATAAGTTTTAATTTCTCTTTTAAAAAAAAGTTAATACAATCTTAATGACCCCAAACTTTTGAATGGTACTTTATATACCGTATAAAAAAAATGTTATTTAAGTCATGTTTATCAAGTAAATTTATCTCATTTCAAGTTTTTTTTAAAAAAAATAGTTTAAATTAATTTTGTTTCCACTATCTTTAGATATTTTAACTTTTAAAACATGTTTTGTTTTTATGGATTTTTAGATAATTTACCGTGAAAGAAGTCAATAAATACTAATTCAAAATACACTAATATTTTTTTTTTTGCAGGTCAAGCCAATGCAAAAATTCATTCACTGTGCAGTCAGAAAGTTCACATTACCGTTACTCTACAAGAGTCCTTGTTCAGTTCAGAACAAAACAATAATTTTGCCCTAATCTGGATGTAGTTGTGCTCATCGTAAATAAACCGTAAACACTGCTCTTAGATCAGTACAAAGTTCCAGAAGCACTTCCAGGTCAGCGATCTGCATTCATCCTCCTTAATTTGGCAGGCAGGTTGTCCTCCATTCGGCCACCAGGCGTGTGTGGAGGAGCGTGCTGGTGTGTGGGGACGACCACTGGGGTGGGAGGCAGACTCCTCTGGTGAAGGTCTCCAGTGGACAAGGCCATGGGCTGGAAACCCACCTTTAGGGCTTTGAGGTGGAATCGTGCCTCTCCGTCAACCTGCCCAGGACTAGAGCTGAGCCGCTGTAGTTTAAGAGGAAGGTCCCCGGTACTCGAAGCCTTTTCGGAGTGCTGCGAGCTCAAGCGTAGCGCCTTCCTCTGCAGATCTTCTCTGCCAGACGAACTCATTTTCTGGAGTTTACTGGGCAGCTTGCAAGAAGCGCTTCCGGGATGCGCCCTTTCCTCACCTGTTTCCAGGCAGTCCATGGAAAACCCTTTCTCGCGGTGCGGCGTGAGCAGGGGAGAGGGGAGCGAGGATTTCTCCTCGTATTCTTTCACGCTGTAGGGTGGCGTGGGCACCTCAAAGGTGCTGTGAAACTGGGAGTAGTCCACACGAAAGAAGCCCTCTTCCAGAGACATGACAGGCAGGAAGCGGTGACCCCACAACACCTCATCTTCCGTGTACGAGGTACGAGCCTGACATGTCATACCTGTGAGAGACGGCGTATAATAAACAAGCATTACAATAGAGAAGAAAGGTTGAACGGTTGAAACGTATTTCAGATAAGGTGGCTTTCATTGGCAGGTTGGCCTGGCCATGAGAATGATTTATACTGTCCTATTCCTTTGTCTTCCTAGAATGTGATTGAAAGACTCTCAGTACATAATGTGCGTGAGAAGGCAGAGTTTTAAGACTCCTGCAACCATAATTCAGCCAGAGGGCCATTCAGTGAGTCATAAACACAGCCCAGCCATAGCTTTACACAGCCTTGCTCTTTCGCTTACAAACCCGGCCAGGAAGACTGAAAACCCAATCTGCTCCTCGATGAAATCAATACAGCAATCACTAAGCAATTGGTGTTCCTCAAGAATGCATTGTTGTTGTTTTTCTGCAGGGTAATTCTGTCATTATTTTCATGGGGATAAACCAATAAATCAAAATAGAGATAAAAAATGTATTCTGTTATGCTGAAGTAGCATTTGTGTCTTTTCAAACAGAATGGTGTTAAAAAAAGGTATATGCTTCTATTATGAAATAGTTCCAGTCCTCAAATTTTATTGGCTGAGACTGTCAGTCTGTGTAGTGGTGGGGATATTTCAGTGTCTTTTTCTGCTGGTTACATTGCCAGTAGTTGGTGACAAATGACTATATTTATGAGTGGGGCATTGAACTAATTTACTCACTGAAACAAGTAAACCGAATCAAGTATTGCCACTGTAAACCCAATTAAGATGGTAAAACTCAAAAGAAAATTTGGGTAATGAGTTACATGAAATTTAAGTAAATTTTAGCATTTACTCTCCCTTTCGAGTGTCATGGCAAAGCATGCTGGGAAATATAAATCCCAGCCAAGTTTCAGTTCAATTTAAGTTTGCCTAAATTAAAAGAATCAAGTTCATAAAACCCAAAACAATTACACAATTCGGATGAATTAAAATGTGTCCGTTTTGTGAACTCATAAGAAAAAGAAAGTTATAAAAGTTAATTTGATTGAACTAATTTGTTTAATTTAAGTTTACACTACTCAAACCAATTAATTATTTTGAGCATTAGGGTTTAAACTTTGCAGTGTAATGCATTGTTCAGGCATTCACTCAAGTGATTTGTTGAAAACACAGATTTGTGCATGAATGAAACAAGTGATTATGAATGAGTAACTGAATCATTCATTTAATTGATTCATTCAAAAATATTGATACATTAAAGGTATTGTAGGTAGGAATTTTATAAAAACCTTTTTTCCAAATGTGTTTTAACTTTCTGTATATATCAATGTATAATTAAAATGTAAGTACTCCGATAAAAAGAGTATAAAAATCGAGTGACTCTAGACCGTTTAATCTGCACTAAACACAGCTCATTATTTCCATCCGGGACAAAACAAAGGATTGGCTTAGGCGACTGTCACTCTCTCGCAACCATGGCAACCACCCTTTTGCCACACAGGACCTGCCCACTTGCGCGTATCCGTTTGATTTGAGGAATTCAAGAGGCACGGAACCTAGGAATAGCAAAACAATGGCAGAGAAAGATCAATCAAAATTCACATATGCAGTTCGCGAAGACAAACCAGGCAAAAAAAGGAAGACAGTAACGTTACTAGAAAAGGTAATGAACAAAAAGTCTTTGGATAAACAACGAAATAAAACGCGTGTCAATATCGGCGTGGCTTTCCAGCGATGGCGAACTGAGAGACCTCAAGGGGCTGAAAAGTGACGCCTTGTGACGACCTCCTCTGCTTCGCCCTCGACCCCGGATCTGTCCTCGAACACCATATATGTTGTGAATGTTACACGAAATTCATCTTCATCACAGTGTAAATGATGGCAATGGAAAAACGTGTATCATGCAACCTTTTTTAGCTTTGCCTTATAGATAACTAGCTCGTTAGCGAATCAATTAATATATATTTTAAACTTTACCAATATCAATATGCTCGCTTGATAGTGAGTACTAAAATACATATTATTTGTTTATCTTCATAATGATAAAGTTAGATTTTTTTATTACATGTGATTCTGACATGATGTCACTACATGCACTGCACTCCTTCCTCTCCTCTCGTTTCAGGTAAATAATGCGTCTTCAGCGGTCGGAGTCGCGCGTTCATGTGTTTTTGGGGCGTGGCTTTGGAAGGAGCCCAGAAGGGAGGGGGTGGAGTGAATAGAAATAATTAGCTGTCTTTAAAACAGTCGTGAGAGGTCTACAGACACTCGATTTTTATACTTTCTTTTTCAGAGTACTTACATTTTAATTATGCATTGATATATACAGCAAGTTTAAACAAATTTGGAAAAAAGTTTTTTTTTTTAAATAAAATTCCTACCTACAATACCTATAATGAACAAAATAAGTGATCATAAGTCATTAAATCATTTACTCAACGATTTGTTCAAAACACTGGTTCATTAATGAACAAAACATGCAGTTATACGAGTGAGTCATTGAATCTTCCGCTCAAGTGATTTGTTCAAAACACTGATTTATTCATGAACGAAATCATTAGGTGTGTTGGACTTAAAGTGGCGCTGCGTAGAGCTGTGTATGACATCAAAGTACCGTGAGAGCGATTAGAGAGCAGGCGGCTTCGTGGTATTTTGATGTCATACTCCTATCAGTCAAACACACATCCTCACTCAAACGTTTCGTGCAAAAACGTTGAATCGTTCTTGAATTAAACACCAGTCCTGCCCATTGCAGCATAATGGCTAATTCTGCTGTGGCTTCATTAAAACTATTTCCATTAAACTGCGCTTGAGAGTATTACAGATAACTTAAAGCATCAAATTTGTCAAATATATAATAAATAAATATGCATGGGTAGGGGATCTGTATGTAACTTCATCAGTGAAAGGTGTTCCAAGTCTGCAGAGCTCCTGTGTGGGTCTGCTCATGATTAAATAATTATCATTAAAGATAGCCTACTAATTAGCAGCCCCTAAAACATGAACAAGCCTCAAAAATGAGGGATGAAAATCCCAACAACTCGCTTTGTGAGCATTTCTGCTGGCACTACATCATCCCATGTAATTAAACCAGTTTATGTGACATTAATCACACTGACAATTCCATATTTTGCTGCCGGAGTGGCCGTGCAGAGTAGGAGCAGTGGGGTGGCCTGGCTTCAGCTAAAGGCTTAAATGATGGATCAATGCTGGACAAAATTTTGCGAATGTATCAATCGCTTCACTGTGCTGAAAGCAGCTTTTTAAGCTCTTATTTATAGCAAGACACATTTCACAGTCTTCACAGTAAGACTCTTGATTGCGCAATACTCTGTCGGCATACATAATTAGGGTCTGTCTTTCGTCTCTAGTCTGATCTATGGCATTGATTAAAGAAAGCCTATTTCACACTTGCATTAAGTCTATTTAACCAAATTGCACATATATTTCGTTCTTTGCCATTTCTTATTAGGGTATACAAAGAGAAGATGCAAATTAAAGTGAGTCATTTTGATTCTGTGAGGTGCAAAAGTTCATGCAAAGCCCTGCCGTAAAAGAAATACAGAGCTGTAGCTTTGTCTTGTAATATTGAGTCTGTAAAATGATTAACTTGACATTCCTATCCTGTCTTTGTCCAGGGCTTCAGTGGATCAATAAGCAATTATGAGTACATGATAGACCTCAGCTCCCCAACAGCAGGGTGGTAAAATCACCACATGACTGTTTGCCCCGTTACTGGCCTGACAAGAAATTAATTACTGAATTAAAAGAGTAAGTAAATGAATAGATGGTTTAACAGGAGTCTTCCTCTGGTGTGCACTGATATGCTTGATACGTTTTGTGTCTATCACTGCTGTAACAGCTGCATAATGAGCATTGCTGACACATTGTAATGTAATATCCTCCCTCGCTTTGTCTCCATCTCACATCGTCTCTCTGATAGAGCGAGAGTTCAAATTGAAAGGCCCCCTGCATGGTGTTTCCATTTTATCAAAGGTAATTTACAATAAAACAACTAATAACTGAATTCAATTTCTTCTGAAAGGTTATAAGGTGTGAAAGAAGTCACAAAAAGAATTCAAAAATAATTTTCTGATAAAAATGTCAGTGCTTTCCGGGGAGTTGCTATGCGGTTGCTAAGGTATTCCAAGTTTTTATCATTTACCAGTGTTGTTGTTGTTGTTGTTGCTAACTAAAGTTGCTAAAAATCAAAGTAAAGCTGAAATAAAATCTAAATATTTATACACTTTAACTTATACACTTTAAAAAACCTTTATGAAAATTAGAAATGTTGCCTTGGAAACTAACTGAAATAAAATAAGTTTAATTTGAAGAACTGAAAATCCTAAAAATAAAACTGAAATATAAATTAAAGCTAAACAGAAATAAATAAAAAACAACAATAAAAATGACAAAAATCACATAATAAAATGACTAAACCTTGTGAAAATATGAAAATTAAAAATATAAAAATCATATTATTCAACATTAATGAATCCTAAAATAGTGCGTAAATGATACAAAAATAAGGTCGCTTACTGGCTCAAGCCTCTAATCTGGTCCATATAAAGTCACTCCTTCAATTTAAATCTATTGTATTTTTAAATTCATTTTATTGTGAGAAAAATCCTATTATTTGGAAATGTAATTAATAGCATTCATCATCCCAATGATTTGAGGTGTCACTCTTGCTATATGTCAAAGTTTAATTCTTATGGTTATAGGAAAAATGTCAAATCACTAACCCTAAATATGAGTAAAAGTAATAGTGATGTTTAGAAAACACCACTAAAAATGAAATGAGAAAAATAGCTGCTGTCGTCTTCCTACTCCTCTTACATCCTCCAAAGAAAATCCCATTTTGCCTTTCTTCCTCACACTCTGCCTGCATAAAAAACACCAGGAACCGATTGACCTCGAGCGAGGTCTGAAGCTCATACCTCAAACTGACAAGCATGTGACTGAAAAAAAAACGTATTATGCACAAGGCACAGTTAACAGCATTGCTAAAGCACAGACCTGAATGAATGCAATCAGAAAGACACCTTATTACAAACCACTCGACACCCCAACTGACCTGACTGTATATTATGTCCATTCAGATGGAAAACCAGGACTGAGGGATGTGAGGAAGAATAGAGAGAGGTTATCAAGTTTAGAAGGTAAGTGTGGGAAAAGTGATATGTTCACTTCAATTTGATAAATGAAGATGAATGATGATAAATAAACACTGCTAAAAAAATCCTTTTCTTAATTAGTAATTGTGTCATGGTTTCCAAAATACATCAAAACATCATTAAAACAAAATAAATTTACTTGAGCAGAGAATTTGCATAAGACTTTGCATAAGACGTACTTGTTTTCAGAGAATTCATCTTGAGAAAATGAAATTTGCATTGGCATAAAAGTTTGGGGACACTAAGATTTTTTTTGCTTTTGTTCAGAAAGAACATTAAAGTGATCAAAAGTGGCAGTAAAGATATTTATAGTGTTACAAAACATTTATATTTAAAAAAAAATGTTGTTCTTTTGAACTTTCTATTCATCAAAGAATCCTGAAAAAAAAATGTTTCATGGTTTCCAAAAAAAAATATTAAGCAGCACAATTGTTTTCAACATTGATAATAATAAGAAATGATTATTGAACAGCAAATCAGCATCTAAGTATATGATTTTTGAAGGATCATGTGACAAGAATGGAGTAATGCTGAAAATTCAGCTTTGCCATTACAGGAATAAATTACATTTTAAAATATCCAGTTCAGTCGTGAAACTAGAGGGCATAGGCTGGTCCTTTATGCAAACTGCAAGCAATCACATCATTACCGCATGGAACAAGCTGATTGGCCACTGTTGATCCTGCAGCCAATGAGATTGCCTGCTCAACATTTAAATAGTCTGGTTCATTTTTTGCTGTATGCTAGTCTTGCAGCGTGCATGCAGAGTTCCTCTGAAATCCTCCACCTCCCCAGCTCCACCTGCCTAGATCTGCAGCAATAATCAACAGCAGCAGTGTAGCAGATCGAGTTTGCAAAAACCAAACCATGAACATTGCCAATAACATGCTAAAAATATTCTGAGTTGTCATGATTGAAATATATTCATAAAGAAAACAATTATTTTAAATTGTAAAAATATTTCACAATATTACTGTTTTTACTGCATTTTTGACCAAATAAATGCAGCCAGCTTTGGTGAGCATGAAATACTTCTTTCAAAAATATTTTAAAAATCTTAGCGACCCAAAACTTTTGAACTCTAGATTGTTTTGTTCTTAATAAAAAAAATAAGATTTATGCATACTACAAGAAAAAAGACCCTAAATATTTTAATTTATTTGCTTAAGGAAATCTTGTTTTAGTAATGGTTAGGTATTTTTACATGAAAACGAGAAAAAGAATTACTGTGCAAATTGGCCGAGGGGATGCAAGCAAAGTTGCATTGTAAATGAACTTTTGTGACATCACATTCTTAAGCCAAATGATGTTCCTAAAGAAATGGAGAGTGGAGTGAATAATGCGACTGACCCGTTGTCTCTACAATGCCTTCCAAGATGACGACAATCTCAAACTGCTCGTTCATGAGCGAGCGCTGGGACAGGTCGAAGAAAGGGCTCTTGGGATTGATCTCGTGGCAAATGGTGAGGGGAGACACCAGGAAGAGTTGGTCAGCACCTGTTCCAAAGCCCACATCCAGTTCACACTGATCCAACGGCAGGAACTCGCCCTCCGGGGTCTGACGAGACTGGCGAGAGACATTATCATCATTATGGTCACCATCTTTACCATTTTACATTGAAAACTTCAATTTAAGATTATGCTCTTTAATATCTGAAACAAATTACAGCAGAAACAGTCAATCTAAAAAACAAAAAACCAAGGATGGTATGAAATGGAGGTGGAAATGGAAAAAGGAAATTGAAAGAAGAATGTCAGCATGTGTATTTACAAATTTTATGCTGTATAAACTGAATTGTAATCAAACCCAAAATAACAGAATATAAATTGAAATTGAGGGACAAATTCATGCTGTTTAGAGTGTAAGGAAAATATTCCTCTCTAGAAAAGTGAAGAGAGAGTGAAGAGTGAATGGGGGATTTTGATAAGCATGACTGCTCAGAACAGTGAAATAAAAAACGCAGACGGAGCAAAGGAGGAGGCTGGGGTGAGATAAGAAAATGCCTACAAAGCATTGTGTCATTTCAACCGTGATTTAAGAAGATAAAGAGAGTCTTTTCAGAGAGCGAGTGAAGTTTAAGACCTACTGATTTACAGGGCGATGTCAAACTAGAAAATGAGAAGGAAACTCCAATGAGAAGGATATGTTTTTCTACACAGGCTAGTGAGGGGTTTGTGTGGCAAAGGCAGAGGATGGAGCCACACACACAAACTCTCTTATGAATAATGTTGCTGTAAATACAAAGTGGAAGAAATCACTCTTACATTCAGTTAGTTGGCAGATGTCCTCTCACTTCCAAGTCTCCATATCATCATCTCTCATTACAGTGGCCTTACTGGAGCTGTTTAGGCTAAGAGTGTCTCTAAAGGGCCCTACAGCTGTGGAACGTGGAAATGTGATGAACGTGGGATGTAAACCAACAACCCTCTATAATAGGTCCATTACTTAAAACACTGCAGCTCAGAGGGGCATTAAAAAGCTTCCACGTGGAATCATATTCCACATGTAAACCACACAAAACTGTCTAGGCATTTCCAATCTCTAAATACAGCCAAAGTGCATTAGACCTACAGAGGTGATTGGATAATAACTTTGTCATCATCATTTTCTCCTTCTTTCTTTCTTTCTTTCTTTCTTTCTTTCTTTCTTTCTTTCTTTCTTTCTTTCTTTCTTTCTTTCTTTCTTTCTTTCTTTCTTTCTTTCTTTCTTTCTTTCTTTCTTTCTTTCTTTCTTTCCTTCCTTCCTTCCTTAACTATTACTAAATAGAGTAGGACTTAATAATAGAGTTGACTATGACACATCTCTTTCATTGTAGTACATGCAATGTATGTCTATGCCGTTTTATTGTTGTATATGCAATGCATGTATAGATATCATCATGTTAATTTTTTTTAACATCATGGTATCTATGGTGACAAACAAAGCCCATTTACCTATCTATTATTCTGTCCTCCCAATGATGCTGTAATCTCGTGAACCATTTGTATTTAATAGTGATGGTGATAATAATATAATAATGTCATGCTGTGGCTGTCTTTAATCAATTAATCCACAATGGAAAAACACAGGAGATTGTAGGAGATATAAACAGAAACAACCACAATAACATTGACGATACAGAAACATGAGCTAAGGAAACTCTGGGCTTAAATACCAGAGGAACAGAACAGAAACAGAACAGGTGTGTGGAATCAGGAACTGCAGAAACTAAATAGAAACTCAGGTAAATGGGAACAGGGTGAAAACAAAACTAAAACAGAACATTCATGTTACAGTACACCCTGGGAGGGCACATCCTCATGTGTAATAGTCCAATTGGGGATCTGGAGGAGGACATTACGAGCGTGTAAAAGGCAGGAACTAAGAGCCGTTGGTGTGGGAGATGCCAAGGAGGGGATGATGGTGTAAGGAGCCAGGGAGGAGTCAGTAGCAGGAGTAGCCACTCTGGGACCCAGAGAGCAGCCAGGACAAAGGCCCACAGCGGAGTCGAGGAAGGGAGGAGCCATGGTGGAGTGGAGACTTGGCTGACAACACCGGACCGATAACTGACGGAGACGAGGCCAGTGGAAGTGGACCCCTATGCTCAGGCGTAGAGCAAGGTTTGGGTGAGATTGGGTGACACCATTGATCCTGGAGGCCGAGGCGGAGCTGCAGAAAAGAGTGTCCGAGGTGGAGCCAGGGTGCCAGAGGACTGAGGTGGAGCCAGAGGGAAGGCGGAGCCAGATGGAGCCGAAATGGGTGGAGAGAGACAGTGCAGCGGTTGGATCAGAAGTCTGTCGCACAGGCAGAGCGACGTCTGACCAAGGCGGAGCCAGAGGGAGCCTGGTGAAGCCGCAAGGACGATGGTGGATGGTGGAGCCAAGTGAGGAGCCAAGGTATAGCAGTTAGGTCAACAGACCGAGGTGAAGTGACTGAATCAGCTGCTGGAAGCAGAGCCGAGGGATCCTCTTTACTCAGTGGAGCTGGAGACTGGAAGGCCCGAGGTAAATCCACACCGTGGAGAGGAGTCAGAGGAGAAGCAGAGGGGCTAAAGGGAACCAGCAGAGGCGGGGCTGGGGAACTGGCTGTTTTTGGATGAGGAGGCGGGAGAGGGAGGCTGGGCGGTCACTCTGGAGACACAGTGAGACTTGGAGCTGGGTGGAACCACCAGGGATGGGAGAATCAGGGAAATTACCTCCTCCAATTCCTCTAAATAATTTCCAGAGGCCAGGTACAGCTCATCCACACTGGCGGGGATGTGGGCTGGGCTTCACCCCCGTGCCCTCAAACTGCGGTGGGCTCAGGCATGAAGTCCGTCCTGGGCAGTGTGGACGGCTGGCTGAGCTCTGGGTCTGGAGAGGGGCTGGTGACGTCCTCCTCAGCAGAGCAGATGGTGCATGGGGACACGCAGTTCACCAGCACCCAATCCACAAACTCGGCAAAATTCCCCTGAGGACCCACACCTGGTGTGCTTTCATTTCTGCATCGAGGCTGGTATGATAGAAGAAATTTCATGAAAATTAATGAAGCACGCCAGATGTAAAAATCTGACATTACACAATTACACATACAAATCATCTTTGTGTACAAATTTGTATGCAGCTGAACAGATAGGTGAAGAAAGGTGAATATGTATTTATAAAGCATGTGATGAATCTATTGAGTTGCTAGGTGAGTTTGAACTCTTGTTGAAAGGAAGGCTGGCTGGACAGGGCCTATTACTCCTGCATCCAGTGCACCCAAGCAGAAAAATTTAATAGTGCTCATACAGACAGAGTATGACATTTCTCTATCTCTCTCTTACCCCATTATTCTCTCCATCTCACTCTTATTGCTCTTTCTCTCCTTGTCTTGTACTTTCTCTTGCAAACACATTCTTGACCAGGCCAAAAAATCAGAGACAGTGAGGGAAATTTCACCATAAGACGACACACATAGATCAAACTCGGAAAATATGTCTGGTTTTCATGGCATCACATGGCAGGTGTTTTTTGTCATAGTGATGGCATAATGAATTTGTGGTTGAGCCACCAGCCTTGGATCAGATTTTATTAGATTGTCAGTTGACTTGATTAAAGCTTTAATGTGGGATTGATCCAGTAACCGGTATGGCTGGGTGATCCATTGACTGGGTGTATTGATTACAGCATGAACAATTAACACATCAACAATTAGCAAAACTGCATATTGAGTGTTAACTGCTATTTAATTATTCAAGGGGGATTTTGATCTCTTTTTTTTTTTTGTTGACCAGATAGAATTATGATGATGATGTAAA